AAAAACGTGCTGAAAAACTCGATGTATACACGAGTATATACGGTAAATTGGTGAAAGAAAGAATACAGTCTCTCTCTATCCTGCTCAGACTTGGCATCATGGAAGAGGTGAGTGCCTAAATACTTGTCTGCCTTTTTACTTCTGCCCTTCACTTACACAACTGTCCCTTAGGACACACCCAGAAGACATTTAAGAGACAAAAGGATAGTGGATTCCTTGAGTGATAGCAACAAAAGGAACCTAATTGCTTTTTAAGCTAGGCATCTTTTAGCTGAGTAGCAAGAAGTCAGGCACCTGTCAGAGCTGTACACTACCATCTGACTGGAGGGAGGGCAGTTGTGGAGAAAACTCTATCTGGAGATTGTGCGCTATCGGCTCTAGCTTTACCCTTGGTGCTTGTGGAGGTTTTCTTCTGACACCAGTACTGGTCCTCCAAGCCCTGTGGGCAGGAGTATGGAGATAAGGCAGCTTACACTTTGATCCAGGTTCTGTTTCCACAATAAAGAAATTGAGGGTGGGGGAGGGAGGGGATAAAACAGAGCTGATATCAAGGAATTCAAGAAGAAAATGTTTTGAAACTGTGATAGCAATTGTATAGTACTGCTCGATGTGATTGAACTATGGAATGTTATGAATCTGTAAGAGCTCCCAATAAAATGATTAAGAATATATATATATATATTGAAAATGTTGAATAACTTTTGCAACCTGACATTGATCAACCGTACAATCATGTGCACTGATGAATGTAAAATTTGGGAACAGTATCAGTAATTGGAAGATATGGCCTTAGTGACAGAAATGACACACAAGTTAACTGATAAAATTTTGAGACTAATGATGATTTCACAACAAATTCCTTATTAAACAACAAAAATGGACACTATACATATAGATCTTTCTGAGTGGAACAAATGAAAATCAAATCAACCACATCTGTAGAAAGAAATGATGGGGAAGCTCATAAGTCAAAACAAGGCCAGGGGTTAATTGTGGAACAGATCATCAATTGCTCAAATGCAAGTTGAAGCTAACCAAAGTACTTAGATCACAGAGCTTAGAGACTACCTAAAAATAAACTTGAGGAATAAAAGATTGATGACTGAACACTAATGACTGAAGACCAGATAAGTTGTGGGGACACCAAGGACATCATACACATGGAAACCAAAAGACTACTAAAAAGACAATGAACAAAGACAGCAATATACTATGCATTGTTTGAATAACAATAAAAAAAATCAGTGTTGGAATATACAGCCAAAATGTTCTTTAGAAACAGCAAAGAACCTTTCGGGTTTTGGACCTGCTCAGAAGGTGTGGGCTTAAGATGGCATACTGCATAGTAAGGAATATACATCAGACATGTGTTTAATGAAAAGAAAACAAAGCAGGATGTTAATAATGTCTTTTCCACTTACAAAATTATTGGAGGAATAGGCAATAAAAAAAAAAAAAGAATCAAGCCATCTAGCTCAGAAGCAACAAAGCCCACTTAGAAGAAGCACACCAGCCTGTGTGATCATGAGGTGTTGAAGGGATCAGGTATCAGGCATCATCAGAACAAAAAAAAATTGTGAATGAGGGGGAGTGCGGAGTGGGGACCCAAAGCCCGTCTGTAGGCAATTGGACATCCCCTTACGGAAGGGTTGCGGGGAAGAGACAAGCCAGTCAGGGTGCAGTGTAGCAACAATGAAACATACAACTTTTCTCTAGTTCCTGAATGTCCTCCCCCCCCATCATGATCCCAATTATGCCTTACAAATCTGGCTAGACCAGAGGATGTACATTGGTACAGATAGGAATTGGAAACACTGGGAATCCAGGGCAGATGATCCCTTCAGAACCACTGGTGAGAGTGGCAATACCGGGAAGGCGGAGGGAGGGTGGGTTAGAGAGGGGGAACTTATTACAAGGATCTACATATAACCTCCTCCCTGGGGGACGGACAACAGAAAAGTGGGTGAAGGGAGACATCGACAGTGTAAGATATGACAAAATAATTCATAAATTATCAAGGGTTCATGAGGGAGCGGGGAGGAGGTGGGGAAAATGAACTGATGCCAAGGGCTTCAGTGGAGAGCAAATGTTTTGAGAATGATGAGGGCAACAAATGTACAAATATGCTTTATACAATTGATGTATGTATGGATTGTGATAAGAGTTGCATGAGGCCCCAATAAAATGATTTTTAAAAATTTTACAGGTAGAAACAATTGACAGTACAGTGCTAAAGGATATCCTAAGCTGATAACAGTTTTCTTGCTGGGAAGATGATCTTAGATACCTGAAAATAACAGAAGTCACACACATATTTCACCAAAAAAAGTAAAATATGGAGAAATATGTCTGTTAAGCAATTCCAACAGAGAAGGCATTTTGACCATCTCTGATAGAAAGCAGAAATAACGTCTATCACTAGAGAGAAGACAACTTTAAAGGGAGAGGAGAAAAAATGGGAAAATGGAAACCAAAACCTTGAGAGTAGCGGTTCTCCACCTGTGGGTCGTGACCCCTCTAGGGATCAAACGACCCTTTCACAGGGGTTGTATTTCTAGGAAAATCATGTTCAAGGGAACAAAGTAAAGGGTGGTTTCTCAAGGATAGACGACCTTACCCACTAACCTAGGACCAGAGAATGCAATGAGAATCCACCTGTTTGAGAACACCACAGACATGGCAAGGATTTTAACACACAAGCTAGGAGAAGCCAACGACGAGGCCAATGACTTGAGAATTCTCCT